GGATTAAAAAGGCCACGGAAGGCCGGGGAGGGGCAAAACCTTGCCAGAACACGGCAGGGGACAGCCAGCCTGGCCTGAGGCTGTCTCTTGGAGGGGGCCATGCACGCCGCCCAGGGCACAGAGCTGGCCCAGAAACGCTGCCCTGCTCTGCCCTCAGGAACGCAGCAAAGGGGAACGAAATGATGTGATGTTGACTGCTGTGGGAGAGACATGAACAAAGTATGCTGACACGGTGCGACCAGATCTATTCTGCCAGCAACAAGGAAAGACCTGCTGGACTCTTATCTTGCCCTGAGCAGGACTTCATCCTGGCGGGCGCAGCAGGAGGTGAGCCAGGCAGCCTCCCCGAGGGCAAAGGGCGGCAGGGCAGGGCAGGCAGGAGAGGGCACTGGAGTCACGGGGCCCAGGAAGCCCGCAGGCAGAAAAGTGATACTGGCCCTGGCGTGGACACACAGGAGATGGACCTGGGCAGCACCATGCTTAAGCTCCTCTTCCTTCCCAACACAGCCAGAGACGTCATCTCAGCTCTCTGCTCCTTAAAACCGCCGCCACCGTCTTCTCTCACGGGGGCTGTCTCTCCGGCCCTGCCTCCTCACCGCCTCCCAAAGGGGTCAGTAGAGCCAGAAATAGAATCGAAGGGGGCTACCGGGCTCCTGGCTCTTGCTCCTGTGCCCTCACCAGCTCGGGGACAGGGCACCCTGGTCCAGCCTCCTCGGGAAGGGAAAGCCAGGCGGCAGGGGGCAGAAGGCTGGCGCCCCTGGAGCAGAGCGGGTCACCCCCACTCCAGAGTCGCTCCTGCTCCCCGGGGCGCGTCTCTTCTCCTGGGCAGAGGGCAGGGCCTCTGGCGGTCCCCAGGGGTAAGCACCGGCCGAGCGAGGGGTGGGCTCCTTGGGTGGGAATTCCATGGCTCACAGCTGAAAGCAGCAGGAGAACGGGACCAACCAGGGATGAGACAGAGGCGCCCAGCCCGGGCGGGCGTGCCAGCAGGGCTTCTGCGACGGTGGGGGCAAGGTGTGAATTCCGATTTCCAGAAAACCTCAAGGACGGATGGATTTGTTTGTTTATTCTTACTCATTCATCCATTCTCACTTCCCCCGGTGGTTTTTAGTGTATTCACAAAGTTGTGCAACTAGCAACTATCTGATTCCAGAAAACTTCCACTGTGCCAAAAAGAAACCCCAAGCCCGTTAGTAGTCACTCCCCGGCCCTCCTCCAGCCCAGCCCTCCACGTCTAAGGCCGAGCTACGATAAGCCGCCGTGGTCAATGGCAGAGCGCTCACCGGACGACAGACACAGAGCGCAAGGGCAGCAGACGCTAGAACAGTGCACGGCGATGCCCGGAGGATCGGCCGGGAGCCTGAGGCAACCAAAAGCTGAATAAAGGTCCTGACCCATTTGGCTGGCAGCTTCCTCAGCCTAGAGCGAGCAATACTGTCGGCCGAACGGAACAGAGCGTTGCTCTGGACTCCGCTCTGCCCAGTAAGGATCGACCGGCTGGGGCAGTCACTGTGCCCTGACAGGCTGGGCCCTCCCGAGGCCCCCCAAAGGCAGTAGTAACCCCAGGCCTAGGAAAGGCCCGTGTTTCACGCTACAGGACGCGCAAGAGCCCAGAGGCCGCCGAGCTGAGCCGCGGCTCAGAGGTGACGAGGCCCTGGAGGGTGGCGGGCGCGTGAGGGGAGCCTGGCTCTGCAGGAAGCAGGCGCAGAGGCGGGGTCGGGGGTGGGCACCGAGGGGGCCGCAGCAGTTCAGCCACCTGGGGAAGGGTTCCTGACAGCCCTCGGTCTCCAGGCAGAGCGGGCGGCCGCAAGGTCGAGGCTGCAGCTAAGGCGCAGTCTGGACAGTCAGTAAGCGGGTGCCAGCCACGTGACAGCGGGCGCCCGCACTCAGCGGCCAGGGCAGGGGCAGTGCGGCGCCAGGGCTCGGGGACGGCACGTGAATGCTGAAGCGTGTGCCTTACCGCCTAGATTCTGGGGTGTCACTGCGGCACCCCTCTTACTCATTTATTAAGTATTTTCTTGAGCAGAAGTGAGAGGTGGCAAATCCAAGCCAGCAGGCGGGTGGTGCGGCTGGGAATGTGCCAGGGTGACCCCAGCCTGCCGGAGGGGAGGGCGGCCTGGCTCGGTGACCCCAGGATGCCGGAGGGGAGGGCGGCCTGGCTCGGTGACCCCAGGCCGCCGGAGGGGAGGGCGGCCTGGCTCGGTGATGGCAGAGTCCTTTCCAAAGCTGAGGCTCCCGGAGGGGTGAGGGCACCCCCTCTTCCAACCGAATCACCAGCTGCTGGAGAACAGGTGCCACCGGGCTCCGTAGAACTGACCTGCAGGCGCGAAGCCTCGCTGCCGGAGGTTCCGCCACTGAACCGTCTGGCTACTCCTGAACTCGGGGGAGAGAGACAGCCTGGGAGGGCTGCTGCGCAGAACAGTCCCGACACCTCCTGCCACCAGGGGAAAGTCTGACCTTCTCATTTTCTTAAAATAAAAGTGGTTGTAGTGACGTGATTATGCTCGGAAAACAGTGTTGGCTTTCTGAAACGCTGAACATTTTTCCCTCTAAGCAAGAACTGACACGAACTGGTAACGAACAGAACCTGAGCTCCGCCAGCCTCACCCCCGGCCAGACTGGAGCCGGCTTGCGCTTTCGTCTCCCTGGATGAATGACCTTGGCCGGCACCGCTGTCACAAGGGCCAACTGTTGAGGTGCCACCATGAAGGCGTGCCCGGGCTTGCTCCCGACGCCTCTCCTGCTGCCCGCCCCGGGCCCGGCTGCGGACTCTGGAATAAGCAGGCGGAAGGTCTCTGATCACCTGGTGCTGTGAGCACCCGGGCAGTCGTGAGTTCCGGCACCTCGTAATCTTCTTTATTACTTTTTTCTTTTTTCATTATAAAACTATTATTACCACAGCAGACAAATTTGGAAACCAGAAAAGAGACCCCATCTTTCTAATAAATTTGCTGCTTCGTTTTGGGGTGGGGGCAACCTTTCTTCAGGCCGCTCCTGACCGTCTGATGGACAGCCCACTCTCAGCTGATTTGAGCCCCTTCTCCGAAAAGGGCTTGAGCAGCTTCAGTAAACACACTTCATCAGACAGAGGCTGGGTCCACGCGGTCTCCCACGCCGGGCCTGCCTCCTGCCTCCCCAGGCTCCGGCTTGAAGGCTCCAGCTTCTCGTCCCCAGGTGAAAGCTTCCACCCCGACCTGGGCCTGGCAGCCCCGACGCCTGTTCCATGGACTCCTCCTCTCTTCCTCTCCGCCCTTTCCTGGTCTCTGGCGACCCCACCCCCGCCGACACGGCGCCCCCGGGTCCCAACGCCCCGCGCCAACACAGGCGTCCCTGCCCTCCCTCTCCTTCCGTGGCACCGCTAAATTGTCTTCCTCATTCAGACAAGCTCTCAGAACAGTGTGTTGAAAACAACTGGTGTCATAGAGCATTTGGGGGTTAAAAATCACTCACATGGGCCCCTTCCAGGTGGCGCAACAGGCCAGGATGCAGCCCTGCAAGCTAACAGCAGCCACTTGAGCGCGAGTTTGATTCCCGCCCCGGAGGTGACCACATGGCGCGGCAGACCTCTCCTGTCCACTCGCTGCTCCCCTCAGCAGTGTGCTTTTCCATCTGCTGTTCTGCTCCCCACTCTGTCTCTGGTGAAGCCTCACTTCCCTGCACCTCTGGCCTGTACCCCATTCTGTATGAATAAATAAATCTTACCCCCAAAAAAATCACTCACGTGAGCAGTCACCCATCCATCTACCTTTCCCGCCCTTCCTCTTGCCACTCCCCCTCCTCCCATCCCAGACTCCACTCTTCTGCCAGAAACTCAGGGTGTGGCATGGGTGCCTGGCGCCCCGAAGGGGGACACCCATCCGCACCAGCAGAGATGGAGAAACGGGTGTTAGGACTTAGGGTTCTGCCATTAACAAATATCAAATGGACAAAGTTGGTAAGGTGACTGTTTTCCAGCAGCAGATACAAACTGGGCCGGACAGGAGCCCGGGAGAAGGGGAACATGGCAAGGGGCACTTGGCACTGGTGCCCAGGGGAGTGGGACTCACAGAGGGCGGTGGCCAGGCCTGGGCACGCAGCAGGGTGGCTCGGAATAGAAGGCACCGGTGCAGTGCTGCTTTAGAAGTGGCATGCTCAAAGCTGGGGTTTTAAAAATAGGTAATTCCACTGAAATTTCCATGGAACTTTCCAGGGACCTCGCCCACCGTTTTAAGGGTGACTCACTTGCACACGGAAGCTGGGAGCCCAGCGTGGGAGACTACGCATGGGCCGTGTTCGAAAAGGCCAGGCCGCTGGGCCCCACAGCCTGCAGCAGACCGAAACGCCAGGCGGACACCCTGTGGGGCCAGGCGCAAAGGCAGACCATCTGGGAGAGCCACTGGGGCAAAGCAGCCCTGGACGCCTCCCTCCAGGACAGGAGGCAAGCGGGGAGCTGAGAGCAGCGCCCCTGGGGTGGGGGTGGGGAAAGGACTGCAGGATCTCGCTCACTCCTCCCCTCCACCTTACTGGCCCCAGCCCACTCTGCCCTGCTCAGCTCCACCCCTACTCAATGTTTACAGACCCAGAAGAGTGCTCTCTGCATGTGCTAGACAGAAGACAACCTCCGGGAGCAGGCCCTCCGCCCCTGCTCAGCCCTGAGGGGCGCGCTCAGGAAAGGTGTGCTGCGGGCCACTGCCGAGCGCACCCAGAATCACTCCAATCTTTTATGTTCTGGTCAACAGCCCAGTGCCCACCCTGACAGCCACACAGGGGCCAGCTTCCTTCCCCACCTATACCCCCGCTGGCACTTCTGAAGGACACGGCCTGGATTCTGTTCTCCTCCTCCTCTACCCACCAAAGGCTGTGGGCCGCAGGCCACGGCGGGGCGGGCTCAGAGGCCAAGGGCAAGAGCAGGAGCACCGTGAATGCAGCCCTGCACATCACACCGTGGGCAGTACTGGGGGCCAGGCCGACCCCAGGGTGTGCAGGCTGCCCGCCCCCAGACCACATAGAAATTTCCATCCTACCATCAGCGAGCGGCTTGCAGGAGAGGGCGTCATCGAGGTCCCGGGCAGTTGAAGGGTCAATGGTGAAAATACAGTCTTTCCTAGGAAAGATTGAAGACATAATTAGAAATGCCCTGAATCTGAGCTCTGTCCCCCTTGAGGACGTCCGGGGTCTTCAGTAAGACGTGAGGCGAGGTGGACAAGCGGGGGCGATGGAAAGCGCCACACGAGTAGCTCTCTTCCTCCTGAGCTGGCGCCGTTGCTCCTTGAGCGGGGTGGAACAGGTGTGGGCAGCTCCCAAGAAGGAGGCTTCCCCAGAAAGTCATCGACAAGAGGGAGGA